AAAGAGAAAAGGGTCATATAAGCCCTCTTACTAATACAAAAACATCACCTAAGCCCCTCTACTCAAAAAAGCATCATCCAGACACCTTTACTCCCAAAAATCAATTAATGAGGTCAAGTGACCTACAGTTGCCGGTAATAGCAAGTCATTTCCGGTCTTTTTCTTATTTCTTCTCTGCTAGTCTTCTCTTTGATTCTTTCACCCCACATGTTTTTTTGTTTCCCGTTTTTCTTCATGGGCATTTGCACTAATCTAGATTATTTTATTATCTCCATTTCTCTCATTTTTGTTCCTCCTCATTTTTTGGTTTTTATTTTGTTTGTTTATTTTTATCTTTCTTTCATCTCCTTCTCCTTTCGTGTATATCCTGTGTCCCTCTAGCGACACAAATAGTTTTTTTTTCTTTTTTGTTTTTATGTTTATTTTTCGTTGTTTCTTTTTGTTTATCATTTTTACAAGTATTTGTATTGTTATAAGTGTTGTTGCATCGGCGTGGTTGTGACATCAACATTTTTACTTATGGGTGTAATTGTGTAAATAAATATATGTGAAAAATATGAAAAAATAAAAATTACACGGTTGACATGGACACATGGTTGTCACAAAAAATGTTGCAAAAATTGAGAATATTTCAAATGAATAAAATTTTATTTATTTTTGTGCAAATTTTATCATGACTCGAAACACCATTTTATCCCTTCACGTTAAAATTTAGAGAAAATTGCTATGACTATGACTAGTCCGTTGGTGACGGGTGCAATCTGGTAGTGACGGTAGTGGCAACGGTGAGAGTGGATTCCGGCGGCTATGGCGGCAGAAATGCCGCCAGACCGCTGGCAGCGGCAGCAAGTGCTCGCCGGCATGCAGCAGCCTAGGAGCAGCAATGAAGGTATTTTGATCTAATCATAAATAAAAAGTCGTGTTTAAGAATGCTTAAATTAATTGATCTCATTTTGGAGAAAAACTGAAAAAGTCATGTTTTAGTTCTATTGAGGGAAAAATTCCTATAATTTATTATTAGGAAGAAATTTAACATTGACGAGTTAGTTTAATATTAACTTGAGGGAACTCTTCTTAACATTTTTAACATAAAAGAGCGGGTTTATTTTAATTCCGAAAAAGCATATTAACATAATTTAGGATGCAATTAAAATTCTAAAATTTCATTTGTGAAACAAATAACATTAAACATTTTTATGAACATTAAATACTCTAAGTTTTGTTAGGATGCAATTAACATTCTAAAATTCTATTTGTGAAATAAGTAATATTACATCCAGATTAATTTATTTTTAATTTCATCCTCATAAACTGTTTTTGTATTTTCTATTATGCACTTCACACCATAAACTTACATTTGTGAATAAAAACATATGATCATAGTGCTATAATTGTATATAAAATTTGGGGCACATATATTACATGTGCAAGTATGTGTTGTTTATCACACATCCCTTCAAAGTTTGGGATATTTAAATGATTTTCCTAGACTTGAATTTTCGGGGAGTTTGAAGATATGTACAATTTTTTACAACCATATCAGCAATGTATTTTTTTTCTTCATATTTCTCACATATATTTATTTACACAATTACACTCATAAGAAAAAGTTGATGTCAAAATCACACCGATGGAAGGACGCATGCTGCAAGCAGCACTAATGTACAATAATACAAATAATTGTTAAAATGATAAACAAAAAGAAAAATGAGAAATGCATATAAAAAGGAAAAAACAAAGAAATAAATTATTGGTGTGGCTAGAGGGACGTAGGACACAACAAGAAGGGAGAGGGAGATGTAAGAAAGATAATAAATAAATAAATAAATAAATAAATAAATAAATAAATAAATAAATAAATAAATAAATAAATAAATAAATAAATAAATAAATAAATAAATAAATAAATAAATAAATAAATAAATAAATAAATAAATAAAAAAATAAATAAATAAATAAATAAATAAATAAATAAATAAATAAATAAATAAATAAATAAATAAATAAATAAATAAATAAATAAATAAATAAATAAATAAATAAATAAATAAATAAATAAATAAATAAATAAATAAAAACAAAAAATGAGGAGGAACAAAAAAGAGAGAACCGGACATAATAAAATAATCTTGATTAATGCAAAAGAGAATGAAGAAAAATGAAAAACAAAATAAAGATACCATGGAAGAGTCAAAGGGAGACACGTGGAGAAGAAATAAGAAAAGGAAATGATAACTTGCTATTACCCGTAAGTTTTAGGTTACTTGGCCTCATTGATGGATTTTTAAGAGTAAAGGTGTCTGGATGATACTTTTTTAAGTAAAAGGGCTTAGATGATGTTTTTGTATTTGTACACGGGCTTATTTGACCCTTTTCTCTTTTGGAAATTACACACTTTTGATGTAGTACCTTAGTTTGTTAAATATTTGTAATTTGTTTAGATTATGATTATTCTAAACTTAAAACAGGTCAAAGTCATCAAAAGGATCAAAGAATGGATCCGAAAGACCAAAGAATGTGTAATGGAACAAGACTGTTCGGACCTTTCAACAGTAGTAAACTTGGATTATTAATGCATGTGTCTCATGGTTAATAATCTAAGGGGAATGAATTGTATCGATTAAACCAATAAACCACTTGTGTTGAGATTAGCAATCTCAATTGATTTCATCTTAAGTTTTATTGCTACTATCGGGTCAATATACGGCGTGTGTTCTATATTGACTTGATAGTAAGTTTTATTAATGAACACGTCTCGTTATTAATAACTACCCACGATTGAGTATTCGAGAGGAAGAATGTTTAACATATAATCAGAATCAACGAACATTTCATTAAGTGGACATAAGCAAAACTAGGTCTCCATCTCTAATTAATTAAACCGCATAAGTCGTTCAACTTAGTGTTTAAATATTCTTTAAGTTCAAACAACAATCTAAAACCCACCTTGCTACTATTACATAAAAGAAATGCATTCCTTTCCCTGTGGATACAATCCTTACTTCACTATACTACCTATAAGTATTGTATTGAATACTATTTTGTTTATTTTGTGGCACACAACGACTATAGTGATGTCACCTTCTTTGCACCAGACAATCACCGATACATCGCATTGGACCCGTCCATGTTCCTAGCCCTGATGTGATCTCCAGCGACAATGTAATAAATCAATCCAAAATAGTTGGCCAGACACATAGAAAGGGAGAAGTTGTAACAGGGGAAATTTTCTAGAATATGACTAAAACTCAATGAGTTTCCCAATCTATGATTAACTAGTTTTTGGACTATTATATGACAGAAAATTCCAAAAAAAAAAAAAGAAAATTTCGTTTGTATTTAAATGTTGAATGATGAAAATACCCTTATTTAAAATGTGTAATTTGCACTAATTTCGTCCTATTAAAATTACTGACTGTATATTGCCGTTACTGCACGGCATTACTGTACTATATTACTGAACATCGATTAATAATCATTACACTTCCCGCAAAATTAATTCTCTTCTCATTACTTTAGGAATTTATTTATAGTTTTTATTTTTTACTTTTTTAGATTTTTTTCTTTTTTAGATTTAATAATTTTATTATTTTACGTCTAATTAAGTATATTGTATTTTATGGGGACATTAGTGCTCTGTGTTACTGCACTAGTGCTCATAATCATTCCACAACAAACTTCTTCAATGCATTCAATTCATTGTTAAATATTCAATACCATACCCTACACTTATTGCCATGTTCATTGTCAATGCTCAATGACCATATTTAATGCCAAAAAACCCTAAATTCAACCAACCAAAATCTCAAATATAATTACAATCCACAAGCTACCGTTCCTCAAACAATAATTACAAACCACTTTTACCAAAATAATAATAATTACAAACCACTATCAACCGGTGAGCCTTCCATCAGTTCAATTCCATTGCTCCCTCAATTCCATGGCTCCCGATCTGACGAATCATGGCTCTAAATTGACAACTTTGCTCTCAGTCTGGACATCTGTGGAGGCGGCGTGGAGGATGGACTATGGACGCAGGTTTCTGGCAAGCGACGGCCGTTGATGATGCTATGCATGACACCTAGGATAGACAGACGTCTTCTCAAGTAGGCTACACAACTTCTAGGGTGGCGATTTTGCTCCCGATCCGTCAGATATGCGCGAACAGCAGGCAACCTCTTCGACGACGGCGTGGTTGTACGGCGAGCGCGCGGCGGCATAGCTATACTTCAGGCGGCGGCGCTGTACGTAGGGCGGTGGCATGGATGGGTATTGCTATGCAGGGGACATCGCTACATGTTTAGGGTTAAAAGCAATGCTCCATATGGTATTATTAGCTTTTATAATAATGGTATAAGGGCGGTATAAGAGCATATGAGTCATAACAAATAATTTGTTTATTTACTTATTACTCCGTAATTTATTAATTAATGACACGAATTTTAATTATATTTTGAGAAAAAAACGCATTAGGTCATAGATCGGGAAAGTGATGGAGTTTTAGTAATACCTAGGATAATTATCTGTGGTAATAAATCAACCCATGAGCTGGACCGCTTTCTCAGTCAGCTGAGGGAGCCTGGACTAAAAAGCGGTCTAGCTCAACTGGTCACTGACTCACTCTCTCATACGAGAGGTCTCAAGTTCAAAATTTCATGGAGAGAGTTTCAACTCTGTTTACTACATATATGCTCTCTCCAAAGCCTTCCCCCGACCCCTGAGGTAAAAAAAAGGAAGATGTGTGTGTGTTTACGTAATGCTTAGGTGGATAGAAAGCATTCATTATCTAATGCACAACCACTCGTGTTTGATGCACATAAATTAACATCTAAGACAAATTCATATAATCGCACAACATTGGATATTTACTACACAAGAAAATAAAACTTAATTTAGTACATGAGTAAATAAACATAATTTAATGTACATACATGAAGTACATGAAGTGAAGTTGAATACTTCTTCGATCCTTATATTAATTTAATACTTCTTCCTTATTAAATAACATTTTTTTGGAACAAAGACTAGCCTTTATTCATATCAAAAGTTTCAGGATCATTACATCAATCAAGGAAAAAATAAAACTGACACCAACTAGACTCCAGCAACTACGACTGTAAACCCTATGATGAGCTTTAGAAACGGTCACCGTTGAAAGAGCAACACGAATCGCTAACCATGTAACGGGCTTGACACAACCATCCATATTCCCATAGATCCAAACATGCTTAATGACCTAAAACAAGGCTAAAATCCCAACCAAAACGACAAACCTAACAACACAGACGATAACAAGAAAACAAACGACAAAAAAATATGAAAACTTGTTAGGAAACTTTCACAAACTCCTGCATCTCGCACAACCCATGGCGGTGGCTCAGGAGGAGGCCGTATCCTTGGCACCACTTCTCTCTTGGCCGAGTCTCCTTCCTCCTCAAGCGGATCCTCCTCAAAAATCAGTTCTTCCTCGTGATCCCCAATAGCCATATTCCGGTATCTGTTAGCAATTTTCTCCATCGTCCCTTCTTCGTTCAGAGCCCAATCGATCGGCCACCAATCAGTTTGAACAAACCAAAGCAACCCCCTGCTTCCCATCTTCACCGAGAAAACTGTTTGAAGAAAGATTGAGGCCACACCCTCCCCTCAACATCCGATCACAATCAACCTCAAAGCACCCGCTGACACCTAATCCCTCCCCCGTAGACGAGGAAGAAGAGCGGCGCAGCAAAAAAACTTACCCTAGATCTCTAGGGAGACGTCCGTAGCTCTTGTTTATTAAATAACATTATAAATAAACCATAATTAATACTATGTATATATGCAATATTTATGTTAAGTATTCCTTCCTTATTACTAAAATTCCCCCAAGTAAATTGATCAACTACTATTTGGAAAAAGAATCTTGAAACGCATTCCATGTTTTTAAATACACGCACTTTTGGGAATTTAAAGATGAATAAGTTAATTTTCACTTTCAGATCGAAACTGCACCTTTAAGGCATTAGTTTAATTTGCGGTTGATATAAAATTAAATTACACTCAAGCCGTGGAGATATGCACTTCCTTCCATACATGTTTTAGCTAAAACTGATTTTGAATAAAAATAAGGTGACAACTCCGGTACCTTTCTAAAATATGGGGCTGTACCTATCATTAATTTGATTGGACCACATCACTTTATCATTTTTAATTTAGATTTAAATAATTAACTGCTACATTGTCATTGGTCCATGTGGACAAAGGTATGATACTTTATGGGTACCATAGAATCTACCTAAAAATAAATACAAATATCCAAGGGTGTAAACTAATACGATAGTACGTAACTATGAAGTCCATTTTGAATACACAAAAGTGCCCATACATATATCGTGCTATTAATTACTCTTGGTTTTACATCAACCAAAGCACGAGGTTAAACAAACTAAAGCTTTTCGATCTTTCACCGTGAAAGAAAATAAACCACAGTGAATCGCTGCATAAAAAGTGCAACGGTTCAAAGTTACTATTACGTATAGAACAACATACGTAGTATTATAGTTTATAGTGACTATGGTAAGAACTTGGAACAAGTTATATATAATAACTAAAGTTATAAATCACATTTTTACCTCCCATTTTTCTTAGAGTAATGGAATTTCTTTGATGAAATCTTAAGGAAGGTCGTCGTTGTAAAAGAGTTGGTGGGTTTTGGGGCAGGGGGCCGGGCCAAGAGCAGCGAAAGAGGTAATCATGGCAAGTGAGATGCTTGTGAGGTTGGACGCAAACTCAACTTGACCGCCCAAATCAGATGATGCCGCCGCCGCCTCTCTCAACCCATCAAGGCAGGTGTCCAAATCGGTCAACGCCGCGCTGACCCACGTCAGCACGTCGTTCATGGTCGCGCCGAACTCGGGGCTGCCAGTCTCCGCATGCGCCAGCGGCGGCAGGGATCCTTTGATCCCATCCGCCGCATTCCCCACCGCTTCCCGGCAGTCGCTCATGGCAGAATGTTCCTTCTCCGTCGTCGGCGCCTCCGACGCCAGCTTCCTCAATATCACGTCCTTTGCGGCTTTGACGCCGGCCTGGCTGAGCTGCAACGCGAACGCGGCCAGCCGCCGCTTGCTCCCCTGAATCTGGTCGGCGTGTGGGCTCAGCTGCTCCAGGCACATGCTTGGGTGAAGGCAGTCCTTCTCGCAAGAGGCTTTCACGAAGGCCAAGTACAGAGAGCGCTTCTCCGGCGGCGATGACTGCCACCACAACTCCGCTGCGGCAGAAACACCACAACAAGGCAATGTGAGCATTATTACTATTATCATGCTCAACAATAATGGCCGTCTGGAGTAATAATAATAATAATAATACAGCTCGGTTCCCATTTTCAATGGATTAATTTGCTATCCGGCCTGGGATGTTAATACTAATCACTGGCCGTGACCGACTTTAATTTTAGGAAAGACCCGACCTTTACATATATACATATATAGGGGTGGGCAAAAATACCGAAAAATCGGTATACCGTACTTACCGTACAAAAAAATACCGGAAAATACCGAAATATTGGCATACCGTCATTTTCGGTATGGTAACATACCGTACCGATTTATTTCGGTACGGTAACGGTAAATGATTTTCAAATACCGCGGTATACCGGTATAATACCGTACCGACTCCCTACTCAACAATTACTTTTAATTCTAATATATTGTAAAAATGCATTACAATTTTGAAGCCCAAAAATAATACTCCCTCCGTCCCGAAAACAACTTCCCGGTTGGACTTACAATTTGACTTTACTGTAGAATGAACTGTTTTGCACTGTTTAAACACTGTTTGGCACTGTTTAAACACTGTTTAAACACTGTTTGGCACTGTTTATCACTTTTTTTATGTAGATAATTTGCCAAATAAGGAAAGTATTGAAGTGTGAAGTTAATTTTGGGACATCCATTTAAGGAAAGTGGGAAGTTGTTTTCGGGACAGAGGGAGTACTTAAGTTGGTTACAAATACAAAAATACAAAAATAAAGGCTCAATTTCTCAAACCCGCTATAACCTTATAGGCTTTTACTACGCTACCTTAATGACTAATGAGTAATGTACAAATGTCAAGAAACAAGTTCATCTTGTTCCAAGAGATTGCAAGTCGTGATGGCTGGGCCGCTAAGTAGCTGACGAGTGAAGAGAGATACACTTATGTGACAAGTGTATCAACATGGGGATTCTGCGAGTCGAGACACACAACTTTGTCCCAAAGTCTTATTCAATTTTTAAGAAATTATAAAAATGACTAAATACACAATATTATATTAGGAAAAAATGATTTTATATCTATGTTGTTTGAATAGTTTTATTTATTTTTGTTAGAGAACACTATTGATTTAATTATATCTATATTGTTCAAGTTATTTTAGGAAAATTTGTTACTTTTTAATATGTGGCATGTTGAACTGATTAAATATACTAATAATAATTATTGTTTAATATTAAATTGACATCAATAGATTATTAATTGTATTTCATAACATTCTAATAATAGATTTAATATGTCGCTAGTAATAACGATTTAGTATATTTCGTTAGTCTATGATAATTTTTTGTATTGGGAGACATGCACAGTAATTTACCGATACCGTACCGTTACCGAACCAAAACTTCGGTAAGGTAAAGGTATGCAAATTTTGTATACCGAAAGTTTTGGTACGGCAAAGGTATGAGAAAAAATATAAGGTATACCGTACAGAACCACCCCTATACATATATACTCTGTAGATCACAGGAGGAGAAATTTAATTCAATACAGAGTATAGTTTAGTAATTTACCCCTTCATTTCCTTCTATACTTATTTTCACTCTGCCTATTACAATTTTTTTTACCGTAAGACGCTTACATCATTAAAATAACATTCAGCAGGGGTACAAGAACGTGAAAGGACCACATGCAACCATCCGCCCTTGCAAACCCACCACCACAATTTCCCCTGGCATCTTCTTAATCCATATGATTATAGCCTGAATGAACCCGAAATTCATGCTGCTTACCTTCCCAATCGAAACCAGTGGTAAAAGAGAGGAGTCCATAACCCGAACAAAATCACGATCCAAATCTGCTTTCTCCCGAAACGCGAGTCCCCAGCCCTTCCTAAACCTGATGGCGAGCAAGTAAGAGCGAACCAGAGAGGATAAATACCGATATTCAATCGGCAGATTGAAATCGGAAACACGACCTAGCGGCTCGCGGCGCAAGCCCTAGGAGAAACGACCGAACTTTGACCAAGGAGATCGAAATCGGAAAAGTGCCCAGCGGCGATGCCCAACGTAATTATGTGTTTGATTTTACGAAATTTTCTAACATTTTATTTTATGGTCTCTCAAAAAACCATTTTATTTTATTAGGATTGAAAGTCCATTTAATTGGTAATATCATTTTCAACTTATCATATTTATGAGTACTTTTTTGACACACGTAATTTCTCATTTCACACATTGAATTTGTGTAATAATCAAAATAAGTATAGTTAATGTTAGTTTTTCTATTTGAATTAGATGAAATTATTGAACAAAACTATCAGAAATAATATATATTGATAAAATATATTTTAATCCTCCCCTTTTAATTGATAATACGGAGTATATATTTTAAATAAGTTTTCCTATAGTATACTAGATTCATTGAATTCAGCATTTCAATCAAGATTTCTTCACTTTCATCAGATGCAATCATTCAATATGACTTAAAACCAAAAGGTCTCTAAATAAATTTGGAGCTTTTTCTATAATATTAGTCATAAAAAAGTGATGAACAAAAATGTGACCTAATAATTATAACTCCCTCCGTCCCAAAAACAACTTCACAGTTTGGCAAACACACAGATTAAGAAAATAAATTTGACTTTACTGTTGGGTGCACTGTTTTGCACTATTCAAACACTGTTTGACACTGTTTGAACACTGTTTGACACTGTTTGACACTGTTATGATGTAAATAATTTGCCAAATAAGTAAAGTATTGAAGTGTGAAGTTAATTTAGGGACATCCATTTAAGGAAAGTGGGAAATTGTTTTTGAGAATGAGGGAGTAGTAATTATAATTATGTTTATAGTTAAAGTTAAAACTAAAGTATGATCTAGAGCGAGTTTTAATTTAGATCGGAGTCCGGCCTAATATTGCTAATAATTAAAGTTAAAATTATTGTTTGACAATTGCTTAATCCAACCAAGCCGTTTCCCCTTTAAGAAAATTTGGGCCACCTTCTCCCTTATATTATATCGGCATGCCTGGCCTTCAAGGAAAGAAGGTTTATATGTTTTTGGACTTTTTTTTGAAGGAAAACAGACAAATATTATTAAATCAAACTGTCCGTGTATAACGAAAAACAATACACTTAGGCGAATTGAAATAAAATAATAACCATCCGATACTAACCTCCCTCTAACCAACAATAATCATAATCCCACCACCTCCTCACTTCTGTATCAGACATAAAGTAGTGCACCCTAAAAAGAGCGATACTAATCATTGTACTTTGCTAGTAAAAAGTTCAAATGATAATTAACTCATAGATAATACACACTATAATAAAATGTGAGGTGGCCTGTTGTTGCGGGCCTCGCCCGGACTACCCATACTAGTGGGCAAAAAATCTAAAAAAGCCTAGCACAAGCCTCTTTTTGTACAAGTTTATTCCCTCTCCTTCCCCATAAACCTCTCCACTCTCTTCTTTTCTACCCCATCCTCCTCTTCTATCCCTACCCTTTCATCTATAAACTTTTGAATCGTTCACATAGCTAGACAACTAAAGTGTGTACACACATTGGT